AAATTTGGCCTATCTATTGTGTACTACCTTAATAACCAAAATATGATAATTTTACTCTATACATGGAAAATTTCGCACCCGTTTTATTTTCGGCTATTTCACCCTAACAACAGGTGGACGCATTTACAACGGGGCAAATTCAAAGAACACAGTATAATTTCTTAAGTAGAACTGTGACTGGGCAAATTCAAAAGGGTGCAAAATTGTTTGCAAGTGCCAAAGGGCGAAAATAACACGGGGCGAACATAACACTGTATAAAGTAATGCAAAAAAGGTCACACAATAATTTATGCACATTAATTTGTAGGAATCTTTTAAATATTAAATATCATTCAAACATTTTACACTTAAAAAGATTAAATTTAGTGCCAAGATTACATTTGACAAAATACGATAAATGTGAAAGTGATTAACCGAAAAGTTACAATTTAAGTGCAAAAAGGTCACGTTCATTGTACTGTAGATCAGTAAGATGCACTCTGACCCCAAATTTTCTTTACGATTCTGAGTCATGTTATATGAGTAGTTATCTAAATTGTACTTTTCAAAAAAATCCTAGCTATAACTCATTTACAAGTGACATACCTCAAGAAAAGGAAAATTGTGACAGCAGACTATACTGTGAATCCATTTTTAATATGGGAGAATAAATTTCATCTCGCGTGTAATAGTATTATCAAAGATTATATAGAACAATAGCTATAATAAGCAAAATTTTTTCTCTTTTATAAATACAATATTTCTATCTCGCGAAAATAATATGTCGCAAAATTTTAGTGATTTACAGTATTATTAATACATGTTATTATCCATGTCATTCTTTAAATTTTGAACAGAAGTAGGCCTTTTACATGAAAGAAAATTTTGAGCATTGGTTTATCTCCAAATTTGTTTTTTTTTTTTTTTTTTTGCCATTTTATACATATTTTAGAAAAAATTACAAACACACAGATGCCTTGACGATAGACCGTTACTACTGTGGTTATCGTAGAAATGCCCCAGTGAGTTACTACCTGTATATTGAGGAGTAAATCAAGAACTTTCAGATTGAGGGGGGTATGTTGATGAATGATGGCCCGACTAGTTATGGGAAAATTGTCCCCATTATGGAAGAGAGGCTGAAACAGATGAGGGAATGGCTAAATGTGAATGGTGATGCTCTTTATGGAACAAGACCTTGGACACACCAGAATGATTCTTTCATTAAGAATGTCTGGTGAGTTTTGAGAATTAGGCTAAAGTGTGCTAAAATTCCTTTATTATTCAACCAATTTAAAATTGTCATACTGAACATTGAGATGACCAATCATCTGTGTGTGTGTGTGTGTGGGGGGGGGGGGGGTGTTAGCAACCGCGAATGATAAATTGCCACTTAATAATAGAAAAATTATTGCATTTATATTTGACATTTTCAACCGCTAATGCTAGAACGCTGCTTAATGTAAGAATTATATCATTAAGCGGTTGAGAATGTCAACTATTTATGCAATTATTTATGACATTAAGCATTGCACTGCAACGGTTAATGATATTTCTATCATTAAGCGGCGTTTTATCATTAGCAGTTGCTACATTAGTGTCTGACTGACTTCATAATTGACGTAAAATATTTTTCAGTCTGAACATTTTATGATTTAGATTCAAACTCATCATTCCCCGGATAAATGAACATGGTATATGCATTTCTGATTTAGGGGATTAAAGGGCAGAAAACATTTATTTTTTTTTTTAGGTGGTAAACAAAAAGTCATCTAATGGATATATTATGCAATTTTATTTTATTTTATCCAATTCTTTTACAATGGCCTAAGATATGGACTTTTACCCCGATGCACCTCAAACAACAACAGCAACTGTAGTACTCTTCTAGGTTACCAGGGAAACTTTGACTGGAATAAGGGTACCACAAGGGGTATTGACATTAATATTCCTCCTATTGCATGGAATTTAATGCCATGTAAATGGGAATGAGTTTTAAAGTTGGAAGGGATACTAGTAAGTAATTAATTTAGGAGATAAACATGTGTCCAGACAAAATATAAGTTTTTACAAAGTGTTAATCAGTCATTCTTCAAAAACATGACCAATTAAGAATTTTTTATGTCGTTTACAAATTTACCGTTGTAATATCTAAACTATAAATTTAAAGACTCAACTCTAAGATTTTACATACACACATGGTTTTGTAAATATTTACCGATATATATGAAGTTAAAGTTTTGATATGAACATAATGTAATGTAAAAAAAAAACGTATTCCACTGCAAATCTTAATGTCGCTTCATTTATTTACAAATTTCAAGAAAAAAATTTCAGCCGTAAAATGTTTTTGCGATAGATTGCAATGAATGTTTTAAAAAGTTTTTTTTTATCCTATATGAAAAGAAATCAAACCACTTCTCGTAAAGAAATGCATGGATCTCCTTTCATGCTAAATCATAGCATGTCACTTAAAATCGATTAACTTCCGTAAAGATTTTGTTTTAAATTTCAACCTGAAATTGCAATGCTGATTCAATCTGAAATTTTATCTGAAAGTGACCACGGAACCTAATATCATCGATATTCTAGTTGCGAATCAGCTATTTTGGACGATTTCATTTTCGACATAACAAAATGAATTAGACAAAAACAGTTGTCTCTCTTAAAAATTTAACTTCCGTAACGGTAATTCAGGAATGTTTTCTACTCTGAATTGGTCCATTTATCGTAGAATGACTGTTATATATATTTATTTTTATCATTATATCAGTTTCCCAACCATAAAAAATGAATATTCCTCAATTGTTTATAAAATTTACAAAAAGAAAAAAGATATTCAGGTATTAAGAGCAGAATGATTGTCATCATGCATAATTATAATAAGTACCATTTATTTTATGAGCAAATGAAGTCAGTACTCTCACTGGTTGATATCCCATAACCTTGAAAACTACAAATCATACAGGAAGAGATAATACATTAAACATTTATAACTTTATTGCTTTTGAACTTCTAGAATTCTGTGGATATATCGAAGTGAGACTGGGTTCCCAATAACTTTTTCTTTCCGTTTTTGAATGCCAATAACTTGATTTTTTTTTTTTATATCTCACTAAGTTTTTTTCTGGTCTCATTGATATTTCAATTGTAACTTTGATTTTACTACTTGTGCAGAACTTTTTTTTATTCTAACGTGTACATTGTAATGTATTGCAGTAATAATTACAAAAAGGTCTGGTGACCAACCCTATTACTCTATACAGGGTTACACTCACTATATTGTCCAGTAAAGACTTTACGTACCTTCACTCCATTTTCCTGAAACTCACCTGTAGCAAATTCAAGGTAGATCCAATCTGTATTCCCAAAAGGTTTGATGACCTATTGTTGTTCCAAAAAAGAAATGGGTAGGTGAGTGTAATAATTACCGTTGACCTTTTTTCAGTTTTAACTCTCTTCCTCCATTATTTAAGTGTCCTCTCAGCACAATTAGGCCTATCACCATACTCATTTGTTTCTAAAAAGTTTTTTTCATTACTCTTTGAAATAATGCCTGGATTTATCAGTGAAATATGGAGAAAAGTACTATTGTATTTACTGTGCAGTTAACTTACATTCCTTGATGCTATATTTTTGCATATTATTTTCTTCCTTGTAAAGAGTTTTCTCATTGGTTCGTTTGAAATGACGTGTCAAGGTATAGCAATGCGGATAGACTGGGACTTTCTAAGTATAAACATAAAAAAAACATAGGGCGGGCCTTTCTAAAAACAAATACATCAACTCTTATTTGTGATTGTGACGTCATAATGGAAATAATTTAATAATACCTTGAATATGGATCCACTCTACATTGCTCACATAGATATTTCATATATTTAGTATAAATTGATTCAAAAATCATAAAACATATTTTACATTTTCATTTGATACATCTCCTTAATTATCCCTTCGGTATAAAGGAAACACACTGAGATTAAAACAGCTTACTTTATTTTCATGTCTAGTCTCTATGAGTTTAAAAGAAAAAAAAAACCAAGGTTGCAGAATATTAAGTCGATGGTATATTAGATGAGTTAGAATTCCAAATTGAATTACAATACCTCAAATATCAGTGTATTTCCTGTAAAATTCAATTTCAAAATACGGTATCAATCGTCAGCTTTCCTTATTGTTTTAGTAATATTCCACTATTTTACCTTCACCTGCATAATATGGTGTTTATGTCTCCCAACTTTTTCGATACTCAATAGCATGTCCTGTCCTGACTACGATCAGTTTCTGAACCAAGGCAGGTAACTGTCAGATAAGTTGATATTACAGGAAATTCAACAACCTTTTGGATTATTAATTATTTAACCATATTTAGTGGAATTTAATGCAGTTTTTCAACTTTTAACTGTGGAATAACCTTTTGTCTAAGACTGTTATATGATCTAGAGACCTGGGGAAATCTAATATTAAGTTCTAAATATAAACACAAAATTGTTTAATATGTCACAAAACCATGACAATATGCATTTTCCTAAGATTTTAATTCTTATACTATGAGTGAGGGGTATTTTTAAGAAGTAATATATGGTGCAATATTCGTCTTCTGCAATTTTTCAGAGAATGATATGAATAAATATTTTTTTTAAAAAGCCACAGTATCAGTGGATTCAACAAATTATATTTCACACAATTTGAGCTAATCAACACAGGTTATATAGATCGAATTTTTGGTTTGTATGGAAGAGTGTAATAAACATGTCATTTAATATCCTCCACAAATCACTGATTAGAAAAAAGTTTACTAATTGCTACAAGAACTTTTATCATATCATTGCATTATATATTTCTTTATTTCACTCATGTAATTTACTCTCATAAAACATGATAGATTAGGGATATTTTGTAGTGTCATGCATGTGAAATTTTTGCAAAGCGGATCTCTCAGACAGCATTTAACTAAATGATCAAGTGCTTTTATAAACAGCTGTTTAGTCATAGTTTCTCGTCACATGTATAAAGAATCCTTAAAAATCATACGACAAGTATGCATGTTTTCTCTTGAAAGCGGTGGTGTATCTGTGCTCATATTCTGAGGCTTTTTCTTCCCTTTTCAGATATCTAAACATTCTACTGACACAGAGTGCCATTTCTGGAAGCTCATCACAAAGTTTTTCAATGTCATCCATGTGGTCTTGTAAAGGTTTAAATGTAAGATACTGTAATGAGATTGCATACATATGCTTATAGCATATCTCAAGCTTCTTCTTCAGATTCCTAACCATCCTGTCTTTTTGAGATAAGATTTCTTCCTTCAAGTTCCCATCCTCTATTTCTTCCATTCTAATCGTATCCGTGTTGATGGCCTTTTTAATACAGAGTATTGCTATTTCAATAGCTAGGACAGATAGTGTTGAATTTTTCTTTTCAAATTCTCTTGAGCTATATGCGTAAAAGAAATCAGCGAGGGAGGAAAAGTCTCTTGTTTTTTCTTTTGGGACTTCGGCCAATCCAATTTCAAAATCTACCTTCCAGGGCAGGATGTTTTTAGTGTATGTTGCATCATCATCAATGTGTTCCTTCAAGATATCAGTCTTAAATTGGATGTCAAAATATTTGGCTAGAATAATGCGTGATGATTTTTGGCGCAAGCTTTTCAACGCCATATGGAAGAATTCAAGGAAACTTGGTATCTCATAACATTCCGTCGGCATCGGTATAAGAAGCATTTGCTCGTGGACGTATTGTAGAAGTTGAAATGCAGTGTCATAAAATCCTAGTCTCGTCATGACTTTGATGGAACACAATGTTCCAGGTGTGAACGCATTTATAAATACTGTTGTCAAGTCTTTATTGTGCATAAAGGATTTGCAATTTGCAAAGACTAATCGGATCACCTTTGAGGCATGATGATAGCCGTGGTTTTCTGCAATGATTTGGGTGACTGCCACTGGAAACATGCGGATGCATTCAACATTGACACAAATAGCTTTAATCTCTTCAGCTGAGTAGCATTCTATAAGATTGTTACTAGGGATAAAATAATGTGGAAGGAATTTCGCCTTCAAATTGTCTACCAAATTACTTATGATAAATAGAATGCATCCACTAAAATTGGTTTCCCAGGCTGCACAAGGTATTTCCTCAAGAGCCCGCAAATATACAGCTTTCAAATGCTTATTTTTCAATTGCTTCGTGAGATGGAAAGTCATGTTTTCAACCAAAACTTTGATCACACAGAATCCATGAATCTGAGAACCAGTTAGACCAGTTGTAAATATTGTATACTCAGCCAAAGAAAAATTGTACTTCCATTCGATATCTGGTACTTTACTGTAAGGATGTGCTTTTTTAATCAATGTACATTTACCTCGCAAAATATTTTGAATGAGTTGGCGAGAAGGAAATGTAAATTTTCTCTCTCGAATTCTCCACTCCTCAGTTGATGGAGGAAATGTTTCACAAACTAGTCCTTTGTACTTAACATGGGCATCCCCTGGTATAGAAACAGCTGCATCTAAATCTATTTCCATGAGAAACTTTTCCGATTCTTTTTGCAAAACATTTCTTTCAAATTCTTTCGTATAAGGAGATAGTCTTAAGTGACAATATCCTGGATGGGTTTTTGATGAATCTGCGAAAATACTTTCTACTGAGGTTTGATATTCAGTTATATCAGAATGTCGTACTACTTTCTCTAGAGGAATAAGAACAAATTCTCTACCTTTTTTCTGTTTATGTCTGTTATAAAAACTGCGCTTTGTTTGTTTTTTACTGATGTCTTTCAAGAAAACATTTATCCCATCTGCAGATGATCCGATGCAGTGAAGAAATACACCAGAGAAAACTTGAGGACATTGTGCCCCAAAGTATGAGTTTATCATTCTACGGGGAAATAACTGCTTGAGGATGTAGGATAAATGAGGAAGTGGAATCCCAGTTATGGTGTCAATGTGCATTGGATCGTAGAAAATAATGTTCAAAGAATCTGAAATAAGATTGAAAAACATGAGAAAGAATAGTCAGTTATTCAGCGCATCAATATTGAGAGCATTTCACTACATACCTCATTGCCAACAGTACAATGTATACAATTGGTTATACTGATCATGAGGATAGTTGTCTTTCTCGCCTCTCTCTCTCTCTCCCTCTCTCTTTCTCTCTCTCTCTGTGTGTGTGTGTGTGTATGTGTGTAAAGACCTGTTGAAATTGTGGTGTTTATTATCATTTTTTTTTCCGCCGCGTGATTTTGAGATTCAAGGCATATTGAAAAGACTTATAATCTATGAGAATGTACTGAGCAGAAGATTTCTATGCATTTGATCCTGCAGTTTAAACCCCATGTTATCGCTACTCCTCCGAAACCATAAACAGTAGAGATACCAATCCTTTGCCAATGTTTACAACTGATTAAGTTAAGTTCAACGCTAAAGGATTCATCGATCCCTTGTGACAGTTATAAGTGAGTCGTAGAAGCAGGGATTGACTGCAATTTCTCGCATTATCACCGGTGTTAGATAGACCTGTCCAGTGTGAGACAGCAGTGTGAGATTTTTCTGTCTTACACTGTGTATTACTACGCCGTGAACGGTACTACTTTTTACATGTAAACAAATATCGTCTGCAATTATAAATAATAATAAATCATGGAGGGTGCAAGTACAAGTGTGCGACTCAAAAATCTGGAAACATCTACTTTTATTGAGGCAAATGAAAACTCAAATACTTTACGAAAAACAATGGGCCATTTGAACATTTTACGTGAGTATTTTGAAATTAAAGGGGAGTCAAGAGAAATTTACAATATACCCCCAAATGAGTTGGACCCTCTCTTGTCGAACTTTATTGTGAATGTCCGCACGAAATCTGGCGAAGAATATGAGCCCTCAAGTCTAAGGGGAATGATAGGGAGCTTCGAAAGACACTTAAAACGTCATCGTTACCAGTTTTCATTAATAACAAGCTTTGAATTTGCACGGTGCAGAGAGGCCCAAAGGGCAAAACAAAAGGATTTAAAAGCACAAGGGCGTGGAAATAAACCCCAAAGGTCCGACTCTTTAACACCTGACGAAATTGAAACTCTTTACAATACTGAACAACTTGGAAAAGCTACACCAACCTCTTTGATTAGCACTCTTTGGTTTAACAACACATTGTATTTTGGTATGCGAGGGGGAACTGAACACCGTAACATGAGGTGGGGGGATGTAGTCCTAAAAAGGGATGAGGCACTTCAACTCGACTACTTAGAGTACCATGAAAGTAGTCCGAAATATCTGACGTTTTTCTGGCTTTTTCACTATTTTTATATTTTACGTGCCAGGAAAACGTCAGAACCGGTGCCATTACGAAAACTGGAAATTTCGCCGTCTCCAATCGGAGTTGATTTTTGATGGGAACCGAATTGAATGCCGTTTCCACAATTTATCAGTAGCACAATGCTTCTAGTACTCACCAATATCGATGAAAAGAAAACATCAATCATCATTTCGATATAGGTCTTGAAAGATTTTAAAATGCACGAAATGAAAACAAATCTCGACAGTCAGATAAAATGTTTTCATCGGATTGTATATTTTATGAACAAACCATAAAAACGATGTTGGTGAGTACTAAAAGCATTGTACTATTGATAAATTGTGAGTTTGACATTTCATTCGCTTTGCAAGTATCGAAAATCAACCCGAGAATGCCGCCTCTGGTTGGAGGCGGCGAATTCCCAGTTTTCGTAATGGCGCCGGTTCTGACGTTTTCATGGCACGTAAAATATCAAAATCGTGAAAAAAGCCTGGAAAACATCAGATATTTCGGACTACATGAAAGGGCCACCAAGACTAGAACCGGCGTGGATGTCACTGATAGCCGGGCGTGCCCACCTCGCATGTATGCAACCCCTGCCAACCCTGAAAAATGTCCCTATCAACCTATATTTTGTATAGAGATAAACGTCCCGAAGGATATTCAAAACATGAGGACCCCTTTTACATTTCAGTCGTTACTAACGAAAAACGTCCTAGAATGCAAGATCGATGGTTTATATGTAGCCCTATGGGCGTCAACAAACTCAATAACCTTATGAAAAGAATGTCAAAAAATGCTGGCCTACCTGACAATAAGAAAATCACCAACACAAGTGTCCGTAAAACTCTCGTCCAAAGAATGACGGATTCGAATGTCCCTGACACATTACAAGTGTACGTAACAGGTCACAAAAACATTCAGTCATTGAATAACTACCGCACAATAAACGACTCACAGAAATACGCAATAAGCAGCATTTTATCAAATTCCTCCGGCAATATATCCTCATTAGTTCCATTCTCAAATGCTTCTACACAAAACCATTCTCGTTTTGAAACATCATCATCAACCAGAGCCCTGCCGAACTCTACAGTGACACACGCACAGCCGTTCTTCGACTTGACACCAATTTCGGATAATACCGCCATTGAAACTCAAAACAATATTTAGCGGGTCACAAATTCATGGAAATGTAACAGTTAATATTACAAACAATACCTATCAATCCAGGAAACGAGTTCGTGTGATTGACTCCGACTCGGACTAGGCTAGGCTAAATGCTTCACATATAATGCATATGTAGGTCAATATATGCAAATGACCCATTTTGAACGTAAACATATTGCTTCTAATATATAAAATTTGTAATAATGTCTTTAAAAGATATCACATATACTTAAAATGTTGGTGTTTAATTTATTAAATCAAATTTATTTTCATTCAAAAGATTTTTGTGTTTTCACTTTTTAAATAGCACTATTTGTAGGTCGCGGAAGGATTCTTCTGAAATGAATTGTAGGCTATCGGATTTTTTTCTTTTAATTCCAGTTTATATCATTAAGAATGATTTAATTGGTTTGAAATTTATTTTCTGAGTTTGTGTAAACCATTTTCAGGTACGATCTCTTTGATGGTGTATTCAGATTTTTTATTGGGTACTAAATAAAAAAAATAATTTTTTTAATGGTGATGACAGGCCGTTATGTTGGATAAAAAATAATGCGAGAAAAATAATCATTCATTACATACTCGTGTGGGATAGTGAAATTCCACCTCGGGGCCAAGATTCACGGTCTAGGACTCGGCAAAGCCTCGTCCTAGACCGTGAATCTTGTCCCCTCGGTGGAATTTCACTATCCCACACTCGTAGTAATGAATGATTCTATTAGGACTCTTGACCTTTGGCATTGAAAATTGGGTCAAGGTCAAAGGTAAAGGTCATTGAAAACTTTGAGGAATTATTATATAAGACATTGACCCAAATGACCGAGCAGTTTGGCCTTGATCTCGACCCTGGCTAAAGGGTCAGAATTCATATTTTAGACATATATCTAGATTCAGCTTTCATTGTATATCTCAATTTACAGCATAGAAAGAAGAGTGATTTTTTTTTTAAAATGATAACCTTGACCTTTGACCTTGAACTTTACCTCTTGACACAAAGGTCAAAATCAAGCTTTCAGTTTAAAAGAGACTTACAATAAAATTATCTAACCCCTCTTTCCAAATCCAAAACAGAAATCACAACAATAGCAACGTGAAATATTTCTAATATTTCTGTAACATTCAACGGTCCTCCGGATGAGACCGTATAAACCGAGGTGCCGTGTCGCAAGATCCCTCACTGCTTAATGGCCCTGAGTGCCTAGTATAGGTAAAAATTTGCAGCCATCCACCGGCAAGTAATGGCGTCTCTATATGAGTGAAAAATTCTCTAGACGGACGTTAAATAACAAACAAACAAAAATATAACATTCAAAGCACACCTCAGATCGGCACAAAACTTCAGGAAACTGTCGGCAAGACCCAAGAAAAACTGGAAAGTTTTACTGCCATTCTCTCAAGTATACATGTACAGAAATCATGAATTTTATCGGCAAAAATTCTCTCTGAAATTTAGGACACAGAACATAGAAATGATTGATTGTATGTTGTTTTACGTCCCATTCGAGAGTTTTGCACTCATATAAAGACGTCACCATAAACCGGTGAAGGGCTTCAAATTTTTACCTTTACTCGGCACTCAGGGCCACTGAGCAGTGAGGGATCTTTATCGTGCCAACGGCTGCCGTGACACTGGGCCTCGGTTTTTAAGGTCTCATCCGAAGGACCCGCAACTTTCACTTCAAAGTGCCGAGCGCATGGCGAAGGAAGAGTTGCTCCCCATTTTTTATCGACTTGGGTCAGTCACGTGTCACAGACGAAGCTAGACGTGTTTTTCTGCCGGTCTGTGTTTTTTGACAATTTCTTCCGAAATTGAGTTTCTTCTTGAGGAATATTTAAGTTTCGGAAGTCTAGTGTGTGTATGTGTATGCTTGGTTTCGGGAATTTTCTGCAAAAATTCATTGTAAAAAGTTTGATTTCGTGTATATATGTTTGTTGATTTCATCGGTGATTTCTTTTCACTTGTTTACCTGTGTATTTCACCTGACGATGGCTGAGAGTGATTTCGGCTCAATCTCTTCCACGGTCGATAGAACATCAAAGTCGTTATACTTGAAGAACAATGACCTTCGGGGTTCCTCTAAAAAACAGATCACGGACTTTGATCTTATTGACCCAATAAAACAAGTAATCGGCGATGATCTACTCTGCGTGCAACTTGACCGCAATCTTTGGAGAATTTATCTCAAAAGTACAGAATGCCGACTTAAGCTTCTCACTCAGGGTATTGATATCAATAGTGTGTCCTACCAGTTTTATGATACGAACCCATACACCTCTGGTGCTACATCTGTAACTCAAAAAACTCTTAAACTGCGGATATGTGGTCTCCCCCTCTCTGTAGCCGATTCCGCGGTACAGGAACTACTTAACAAGCTAAATGTCAAATTAACAAGTAAAATTATGTACGAAAAAATCCGCCATCCAGACAAACCGGATGACAAGTATTCTAAATGGGACCAGATTCATGTATATTGAGCCTCTTCCAGACGGAAAATATCTACCCAGAATTGATTACTGTGG